GTAAGGATAAGGAGGGCCTAGAAGTGTACGGGATGTTGAAGGAAGGAATAGGGTTCAAGGATTACCTACATGGACCAATGGATGCAGGAACAAAGCTTAAGGTCAAATTCAGGACCGGGGACATAGGCCTTCGAGAACGTCGACGAAGACATAGGACGGTAGACGAGGAAGACGACGAGTTCAAATGTGATTGCGGCTTCGAATGCGAAGACCGTGTTCATGTAGTCGCGGAATGTCCGTTGTACAAGAAGGAGAGGGAAGTGTACGTGACTGAGCTGGGAAAAATAGATGGAACGTACAGGGAGATGTTTGAGGCATGGAATAGAGAGGAAAGGACGGTAGCTGTAGTGGGGCATAGGAGGTGGGTTGAAAAGGCGGGAAGGGATATCGTTAGGATAGACAGACTAGGGAAGACATTTTTGAGCCACCTTTGGCAAAGTAGAAAGGAACGATTGGCCATCGGTGATCGGTCCTGTGGGAACAATGCTCCGTCCTCTCGAGGACGCGTGGTCAATGGTCTAACCGCTAAGGCATGCAAAACATAAGAGTACGCCGCCCCCCTCCCCCCCCCCTGTCATCATTTCTGGACAACAATCCCCACCTTCGGGGTGATCGGCGTAGTCGGGTCGCCGGATATGCGGCGGAACCACTCTCGTCGCGGAGAGGGCGGCGGGTCTCAGATCCCCCGAAAAAGTGTAACCGTTGAATTCTCGCCGCACGGCGGGAGTTCTGGTAAACCGTGGGACGTGAAAGGAGAGAGAGTTTGGCCAGAGGGGGACGGGGGGCGTTCAGGTTGAATTCCATGCTCTGCTCTAAATGTCTTTTTGTGACGGGCGTGTGCTTCTGCGGCATAACGGTGGAAACACGGCCAGCGCTATGTACCGCACGTCGGACAGAAGAGGCTATAGTTACGGTTCGGGCCAGGAATAGATCGGTACGGCATTACCCGAAAGAGCCGGAGAGATGGCACACCGGCTTAACCAAAAGACTGCTGCGCCAACAACAAAAGTGGTGATGCTATTGAAAACATATCGTCGGGGAGCTCTCCGACTTCGTATCGGGCGCTTTCCGCACCCTGTTGGTCGTGGAGCAATCGAGCTTTGGGAGTCGGTCCAGGGCGGGTGTCATCTCTCCGCCTCTTACGGAATACCACGGTACGCTATACGGTATGGTACAGAAAAATCTTGGTCGTGGAGCAATCGAGCTTTGAAAGTCGCTCCAGGGGGCGATGCCATCTCTCCGACGGCAATGCAGTACCAACGAGGTACCCCGCTGTCTGTTCCGAGTACAACATCCACGACCGTTGCCGCATCCAGTACGAAAATTGCGTGTACAGGCACCGGTGAACTGCATGTGAGGCTGATTAAAACCTCGCACAACCACAGCTCACGTCGCGCCGGAGGATGCTGTTGCCTTCGCCTTCGCCAGCTTGTGGATCGCCTTATGGCGTCCCCAGTCTCGCTTGAAGCATTCCTTTGGGCATGAAAGCGGCCGCGCACAAAGATTAACAGACGAGGCAGTCCACAGAGGTCGGGAAAAATAATGAGTCGGTTGGGCAGAGGGCTCGCAACGAAACCAAACATTATCCCAACCGGGCAAAGTATGTGTGGACTACTTCTACCTGCTGTGTCTTGCGGTGACTACTACGTGGCGTTGCAGGTCGTGGTGCCTGCATGGGACGAGGTGGACGGGCCAAAGCTAGATGCTTGAGGAGGGAGTACAACTCCTTTGCTTCCTTCCACCAAAAACAAAACGACGATGAGGGCTCCATGCATATTGGTACACCAGTAGCAGTGGGTCGCGGTTTTACGTGCACCTAAATTCCATGAGAAGTTAAAGGACAACAACAACAACAACAACAACAACAACGGCAACACAACAACGACAACAACAACTACTGGATATCCTGTCGGAACACATCTACTGCTATGCAGGGTCGTTGCAAACGAAGTACAAGTACAAGACAGCCAGCGGTGCTTGTGCCTGGCATGGCAACCCCCAGTGTCCGGAGGGATAATAGGGCGTTGTTCATAGCAGGTGTAGCTGCTGCAGACTTCGATCTTTTGATCGCCATCTAGGGCATGTGTCGCCAAGTAGGGGCCCGCTAAAACGGGCCCACCATTGCTACATATAGGCGGACAAGAGGAAAACGCCTCTATACGTTGTGGCCGCCTCTATGCGTGGTTCTTTTCTGTTGGCTTGCTATTGCTATTGCGGATACCGGGGCCCAACACACCGCCGTGTTGCGCTTGAGGTGTGGGGCACCACTCATCCGATGGTGCTGACCGCCGCATCGTGAGTGGGTCACACCCTCCGCTTGTGGCGAACTATGCACCCGGCTGATGTTGTTGCGCCCGGTTTCCCTCCCTGCCGTATGCTATACTCCTTTATGTATGTCCTTGTATTGCCTTCGGCCTCTGTGCTGTGTTTCTTTTTATTTTTCATGACCTCCCTGCCTGCTCTGCTGTGTTGGGTACCTTGATCTCGCTTTGCTGTTGCCTTTGTTTTTTTGTACGGCTGGCTGTCTGCCCATCTGCCGCCTCTTTGCCCTGTTTGCTCCGTTACTCCCATGCCCTGGTGCGCAGTGCCTGGTGCTGGTACGTTACGTTACCCTTTCATTTTTTCTTTCGGCGGGTGTGGGAAGCGTCCTCCTTTTTTTTTATTTTTTTTGTTATTTTTGTTTTGTTTTATTTTGATCGGTGTCCGAGGGCTCTTTTCTCGAACAGTAGGTGCGATACCTGTTCTTTTCTTTCTTTCGATCATTTTGTTTTCTTTTTCCGAGTGGTTTGTATCCTATTTTTGTTTTTTGTTTTCTCGCGGCGTCGTATGTGCCGGGTTTTGAGACCACGGGCTCCCCATTTTTTGTGGACTATAGAGCTAATGTGAGAAACAACAACAACCCTCCCCAAGACGGCAGCAAACAGGCGCTACTCTCCGCCACGCACCACACGACGGACAGTGTCTCTGTCTTGAGCTGTCTAGGCGTTTGTGGTGTTGTTGGTGTATGCATACTATTAAGACTGCTGTAAGAATCTTCGGAGCACTTGTGTAACGACCCGATAGAGTCGGGGGGTACTGCAACATGAACTTCACAACAAGAGGGGAGAACCACCATGTAGTATACCCGCGAACCCGCTGCCCGATTGGCTCCGCTGGGCTTTCGTTGTTTTTTCTCCTCGTTCACGTGGTACCTAGAATACTGCTGCTGTGCCTACCTATCCCCGTCGGGAACGACCGTGCCGCCAATTCGGCGTCGAAGTACTGTCGGTAGGACCGCCCGCCGTTGGCCGAGAGAACACGCTGGAGAGCTGCAAGTTGCTGCTGCTGCGTTACCGCCCCCTTACTTAACAACACACGACGCTGCCATCTACACGACGAGGTTCAACACATTCTGCTGTGCGTGTGTTTGTGTGTATGCGTATACGTCGTAGTCCGGTACTACACACCTGGGCGCAGTAGCGGCTGGCCGGCAAGCCGAGCTTGATGCAGGTGGGGCAAGCCATGGTGCCGGGCTTTCCGCATTCCGGCGTTGTGCAGACAGCCCCGACAAGGGCAGACATGGGGAATACGACTTCCCAAGCGTGTTTGGTGATCACTTATCGATGCTGCTATTCCCACAACACACCACACGCCAGAGCCCAGCGAGGGTCGGCTTCAGTATCCGATCTGTCTCGCACACAGCTGTAGTGCCATCTTTGGCTTTGCTGTGAGGGGCTCCGTAGAACAGAATCAAGCACAACGGGTATGCATATGTTCAAAAAATATAGTATAACAAGTTCAGCTGTGGTCGGCTGCACCCCTAGCACACAGACCTCTCGTCTCCTCCGTCGCCCGAAGCTCTGGGATAACTCGTGGCGGGACAGGGTCGGTGATTCTGTACGGTGGCCTCTACCCGCGGTCGTTACCGTACAGCGCAATCGTGAGGTTGTGGGGAAGGTGAGAGAGAGTCAAAGTTTTCGCACCAGTTGCGAGAAGTTTGCCAAGAATCTCGACACTTTACATCTGAGCTGCAATGAGCATGTCAACTTGATCCACCCCGTCTACAGCGGTATCACTGCAAGAAGATACGCGCGTGAGAGCACAGCAATCGAGGGAAGGCCAAGCAAGCACGGCTCATGTACGCATGCCTTATGGCAAGGTAGCCTTCGAGCCTCCAGTGGCCCCTCTGTACGGAGGACGGTTAATTGGAAATGTCATTTCTCCGCACACTGCTGTGATGACACCATCTGCTGCAAACACCTGGCTCTTTCGAACTGTGCCGCACTAGATTTCGCAACAGTACTAGAGCGGCGCCCATAGTGTGAGACCACGCGCCAGAGGACACCATGAGGATTATCACCGCAAAAGAACAAGGCGAAGCTGGTTGCAAAGGGCGGCAGCAGCCAGCCGCTTAAATCTACTGCCATGCTACCATTTTTTTCCGACGCTCCGCTCCGTTTGTTTCCCCGGCAACGCGTGCGGCAACTTCCGACTCCAAAACCAACCTCGTTGTACAATGTAGCAGCAGTGTAAGCATACGGTACATTCGGTACAGCCATGCGTAGAAGATACAGACAGGGATCGGGGCTGTTTGGACACTGCGCCTTTTGTTTTTTTCTTCTTAAACCCTACTCCATCCAGTATTGTACGTATGATATGCATACTACTGCTGTACGTATGGGTACGTGTATGACACAACGAATCCATCTCAATATATTTACAGCAGTTCTGCTCTGCAAGTAGAGTATGGGACAGATTAGCGCCCGCACTTCGGAACTGAGCAGTTAAGAAATTGAGACTCGCAAAAATCAGGAGCTCACAAATGGTCCTCAAGTTCTTAGCTTCTGATTTTTTGCGAGTCTCAATTTCTTAACTGCTCAGTTCCGAAGTGCGGGCGCTAATCTGTCCCATACTCTACTTGCAGAGCAGAACTGCTGTAAATATATTGAGATGGATTCGTTGTGTCACACACGTACCCATACGTACAGCAGTAGTATGCATATCACACGTACAATACTGGATGGAGTAGGGTTTAAGAAGAAAAAAACAAAAGGCGCAGTGTCCAAACAGCCCCGATCCCTGTCTGTATCTTCTACGCATGGCTGTACCGAATGTACCGTATGCTTACACTGCTGCTACATTGTACAACGAGGTTGGTTTTGGAGTCGGAAGTTGCCGCACGCGTTGCCGGGGAAACAAACGGAGCGGAGCGTCGGAAAAAAATGGTAGCATGGCAGTAGATTTAAGCGGCTGGCTGCTGCCGCCCTTTGCAACCAGCTTCGCCTTGTTCTTTTGCGGTGATAATCCTCATGGTGTCCTCTGGCGCGTGGTCTCACACTATGGGCGCCGCTCTGTAGTACTGTTGCGAAATCTAAGAACTTGAGCACCATTTTGTGAGCTCGGTTAGAACCCCACACTAAAAACCTATATAGCGGTTATTTGTAGCCCGCAAGAGTATGATGACCAAGAAAAGAACCCCAGCCTCGACCGAAACTAGAGGTTCTTAAGTGCGGGCGCCATCTGTATGAGCGACACCTATGTATACGTAAATAAGCAGTGGATCCATCGCTTCAGCGGAGACAATTTGTAACGTTATTTCCACGATTTCCCGAGCAGCACACAGCGACATCTTCCCTGCGGGTGACAAGTTGAACAAGATAGCAGCTTGGTAGCAGTCTTGTGCATTAAGCTACTGTTGTTTTTTTTCAGGACCACACCAGCAGCTGCCCTTCGGGGTACACCCGCAACACATTCATTTAGAGGGTCTGTTGGCAATCAATTCATTAGTATCTGGGTATATGCAATATATCCGCTCATAGTGTGGAGCACCATTAGTTTTTGCACTTAGAGATAGCGCCCGCACTTGAGAACTTAGCAGTTAAGAAATTGAGACTCGCCAAAAATCAGAAGCTAAGATCTTGAGCACCATTTGTGAGCTCGGTTAAGAACCCTACAGTAAAACCTATATAGCGGTCATTTGTAGCCCACAAGAGGATGATCAGCAAAATAAGCACCCCAGCCTCGGCCGAAACTAGAGGTTCTTAAGTGCGGGCGCCATGTGTATTCGTTTTTAGACACGTGCACTCCAAGTAATTAATTGTAGGGAGCAGGTGGCGAAATATTTGGGCGAAATTATGACAGGGTTGATCGTGGGCGTGTTTGCCGTCCCAGCAAGCAAGAGACTTTCTTTGTCGTCCGCCAGGCAGCAGGCAACCAGCCGTTCACGGACGGTACGGCATTCCATGGTTTTCATACGCGGTACGCGCTCTACTCGATGTGGCTTATTGCGTTATCAAAACGCGTGGGTCAAGACGAGAAGAAGCGGATCGTTGCAGTCTGATCACGCACGCTGTCGCCGAACGTTTCTTCTTCCTACACCCACCTTGTGTACCGCCGTATGTAGCGGTGTACTGCCGTATGCATACGGGGCGGAGAGATGGCATCCCCCCTGGCCGATTTTCAAAGCTCCATTGCCCACAACCAAGAGTGTGGAAACATGTCGTCGAGGACGTTCCGTAGACCTATCGGGCTCTTTCTGTACGTCCTTGTTTGCGGAGCAATCGAGGTTTGAGTTTGAATTGAAAGGCCGCCCAGGGGGAGTGCCATCTCTCCGACTCTTTACGGTACATCTGGAAAGGCACGTTTGGGCATGTTTACAAAGCTGGTGCAACTTGCATGTTTCAGGCCTCCCACGGGGGTGACCGGCAGCATCCAGCCAGCCAGCCGTTGAAAATTCTTGGCACGTGTACTGTACCGCAGTATCGCGGCAAAACGTTGGCTGGCGGCCACGGCGCCACAACGCCAACAACAGCAGAGCTGCCTTGCTTCAGAGCTGCCTTGCTGCTTCAGAGCTGCCTTGCTTCAGAGCTGCCTTGCTTCAGAGCTGCCTTGCTTCAGAGCACGGCGGGAGGATCGGCGCTCGAGGCGAGAGAAAGACTCTTGAAGCGCCCGCAAGTTAAAATAACACTTGTTCTCTCGTAGCCTTCTATTGGTCAACACTTGTGCACTTATTTCCGATAGGCCGAATTTCCTTGGGCGGCGAGCGTGATCAGCCGCGAATGATCCAATTGTGTCATTTTCTTCCAGGAGTATCCGCCTCTTTGATTTTCCTTGCCGGTGGAGGAAGGTGCCAGTCTCGGGGCTGTCGCATGAACCGGGATTCGGCAATCTCTTCATTATCGCCAAGCTGGGACGTGGATAACGGTTATTTCGTGGGCGTCCAAGCTCGGAGTTTACGGTGGGCGACGAAAATATATGGAAGGGTTGACCCTCACCCTTGTCACGATAAAAATTGACGTATGTGAGGCCGCAAATAAACATGTACTTGGCTTTCCTCCTGTGTTCAACCCCTGTTTGTGCGCCCACACACGCACTGCAAGGCGCATAAGATCAGCCTCTTGCTGTAAGACAAATCTGACGCCCGAAATCACTGGCATGATTGCATTCACACACACAAACGCTGCTGCTTGGACGTCAGTCTTGATGAAGCACCCCCTTTTTCTGCTGCCACGACCACTTCCAAGAGGGACGAACCCGTACCTGTCGCCCAACTCGTGTCTTTCACTCTGGTTGGAACGAGCGGTTGTCAACGCGACCACTATTGAAGCACTGACTGGTGTATTGGCCGCAACATCCGCGACGGCGGGTTAAGTGAGGTTGTCTGGGTTTGGTAACGGTGTGAACCTCCCCAGCAACCTACCACTTCCTCCAGTTTCGCCGCAGTTTGCGTAACCCCCCCTGGCGGTAACCATAATGGTGGTCGAGTAGATCATGTTGTGCGGGGTGGAGAACCCTCACTCCGCGCAAGGGGGATGATCGCACCACGTTGTGTT